CCCCCCTCGGTGGTGGCGCCCCGGATCCGCGCGCGCACCGGGGAAGGGTGCTAGTGGTTTCCAGGGGGTGTAACACAACCACACGCACACGCCACGTTACTGCACTCTATATAGGGCGTGGGTGAGGTCAGGAAATGGGATTAGACCCTGAGTCCCCAATTATTTCCAGGCACGTGCTCTGCTGGAGCAGTTAAAGGGGCACCTCTAACTGGGATCCAGCAGGTTCTTTAATATTGCTCACCATCAGAGATACTTGGTATCTCTCAGTGCAGACTCGGAACACGCCGGTTGGAATTCTGCACTCTGTGCTTTAAGAGTTACCATGACTTTCATGGAAATAACACAGCCTTGATCAGGGTAAAAGACTAATGGAGGTCTTTAGCCCAATCTTAAAGAGGTTTGCTCTCTACAGCACGGACACGCCACGACTCCGACATACACAAATAGGTACCGGTTACGGTAAAGTGACAATGCAGTGCCTTAATTATTCTAGCATTATCCTTTCTGCTGGTAGGGAAGACGGGAGAGTGGCTAGGAGACGTGGGGAGGAGAGCTGCTGGTGTTTGACGGAGGCTGCAAGTGGGACAGGTCCAGCTCTAACTGGAAACGTAGGTAGACAGCCAAAAGACACTTTTAGCTTTACTTGACACGCAGTTTTATGGCATGCAATAGAACTCCTAAGACAACACTTTGTACAAAGCACACAGCATCTCCAATCCCACTGGTGGTATCTCAAGAGAACAAGTAAAGCTAAGAGTCTGCTTGCAAGGGGGGAGGCCACGTGTGTGTGTGTGTACGGAGGGAGGGAAGGAGGGACCGGGTGGGGAAACGTCCTGTTTTGCTGAAACCAAGCTCTTCTGCAAACCTCCTTCCTTCTATCGCTGGCCAGCTTCCCGGATCCGGCAGGCCACCGCCGTGATGAGCGCTGCGCCCTTGCCGCTGCCGTCTTCCGACTGGAGGAAGGTCACTTCGCACTTCGGAGACAACTGCTTCACTGTTTCGTGCATGATGGTGGAGAAGCTGGAGGGCAGGGGAGGGGAAAGGAAGAGGCACTGGTTTAACTTGCCTTGGGCTGGAAGTGCCAACCCCACAGGGAACGAACCACAACCACCTGCGTAGCTGCCTTCAACAGCATCTCAATCAGTGCTACAGACACACAGAAGAAAGATGGACAGAGAGGGAGCTGCCAGGTAGGAGGCATCAGAAAGGCTGAGTCTCCATGCTTCAGCTTCACCATGAGCAAAACACATTCATGCTCTCCCTCCACTCAGGGCCAAACCTGACCCCTTCTCCAGTCCCACCAAGCCCTGAGAGCACTAATAAACCTTCATAGCCCTGACCAGTCTCACCTGGGGGATCTCCAGAGCCCTCCCTCTGCCCATGGGCCCCTCAGCCCTATTTAAGCTCAACCCTGTGCCTTTAGTCCCTGTCTGAGCAACACTCTTGGGAGCACCAGCCTTCAGCTCAGGCATGGTCATAGCTCTGCTTGGCTACCAGCCTCCATGATCCACGTCATGGACTGACTTCTTGGTTTAGACTTTGCCTGATGAGCTGGAGTCCTGGTTGAATCCAGTCACCATCCCTGGGTCAACCTGGCCTTGGGTGCTGTGGGATGGGGCGCTGGCTGGTGTGAGGTCCCTGCTGTGTTATCAGTCTCAGCACCCCCATCCTTTTGGGAGCAGCTGGTTCTCACTCTGCCTTGTTGAGAGTTTAGATCAGTGAGCTGCTGGCAGCCCTGGAGATCCTAAAGTACCTCCTCTTGTCTCCAGCTGCCCTGCTAAGCTTCCCACCCTGGCTCTTCCTTAGCACCTCATCTGCCTGAGATGGGAGCATGCACCAGTGTGAGCCTCCAGAGAGGACAGCCACCCACCCACCAGCTGAGCAACTCACTGAGGGTGCAGCTTGTAGAGCGTTCCATCCACGCCGACCGTGACCTTGAGGAAGTCCAGCCCGCGGTTCTCCCGGATCTTATCCACCACGGCTGCCATGCCGGCGCCGCAGAGCTGAGCCGCCCGCCGGGCCACCACCGTGCACACCTCCTTCACGATGATGCTGTCGTCACACGTGCTCTCCAGGCCGAGGTGCTGGAGGATGGAGCGGACTTGGAGCAGGGCCAGGCAGTCACTGGGGAAGACACGAGGGCCAGGCAGCGTTAGAGATGGAACAGCTTGGGCACGTGCCTTCTCCTTTCTTATCTGCATCCTGCAGAGCCCAGGGACGTGCAGCTTGGGTGGCCCTGACTGGAGGGACTCTGCAGCCCCCCTCTAACCTCAGCTTTCAGACCTGGACATGGCTCTGATGTCACATCCTAATCAATGAGGCTGTTTCAGGACAAAGCCATTGACTTGGAGCACGCACAGCTACGGAACCTGCGGCCCCTCTCTGTCCAGGACAGAGGATAAGGAGGCGTCTGTGTTGCCAACCCCACAGTTTCTTGGTCTCCCAACACTGGTGCTGTCAGAACCACGTGGATTTTGCTGACTTCTCCGCATTGCAGCACCATGTGCCATCCCAGCTCCAGGCTGAGTGCTTGGCACGTCTCTCACGAGCCCTGGGAACGCTTTCCCCAAAACTACATCTCTGCTCTGATCCGCAGCTGGAAGGCCAGAGCTGGTGGTCACCCCACCTGTTGGACCTCACCTTTCTATCTGGGACAGGAACTTGGTCTCAAAGATCCCTCTGGTCTTCAGCCTCTCCGAGATCCGTCCCCGGAAGAGCAGCCCTCGCTTGGTGAAATCCATCAGAATGTTTCGGACGATCTCCCCCAGGTACATCCCGCTGATCATCTTCTCAAACCTGGGAAGGAGAGGGCGAGGCTGGACATCAGGACAAGAAGGGACACCGGGTCTGGATCGGGGTCCCAGCTCTGCCAGACACCTCAGACACAACCCCCCAGCCTGGAGCAAGTCCAGCAGCGCGGTCCCCACGTGCAGGCAGGGGACGAGGGACACATCGGCACGTCGCACAGCCGGACCCTGTCCTGCTCATCATCCCAAAGAGGCTGGTGGGACGGCACTGAACTCCTCCCGGGCACCCACCCAGTGCCTTCCACAGCCCCCCGAAGCCCCCGCGCACCTTTGCTTCCCAGGGTTGAGGGACAGCTCGTCCACCGCCAAGTCAAACTCCGTCTGAATGTCATCCAAGCACCCGCTGTCACCGAACGCCCCCCACTCCATGTTGATGCACATCCTGCCCTCCTCCCCTTCCACCAGCTCCACGTTCCTCATCTCCTCCATGTAACAGGCGTTGCTGCCCGTGCCTGCAGAGGGAGAAGCATCTTTCAACGGGGCTGTCGGAAGAGCGGGGCGGGTAGGCACGATCACAGCCCTCGGATGCCTTCCGCAGCCAGGAGCACCCCACGGGGACAGGTTTGGGACCGTGGGCAGAGGAGCTCCATAAGAAAGTCTCAGTCCTCACCGACTATCAGCCCAACTTCGCAATACGGATCTTCGTACCCACAGCTCATCATGGTGCCAACTGTGTCGTTTATCACCGCGACCACGTCCAGGTCGAATTCCTGCAGAGGGGTGGGATTGCACGGGTTAGTGCTGGAGGAGACGGCTTGCTGTGCTGCTGTCTCCTCCCACGACCGGGAAAGGACCTGTCTGCTGAGCATGGGAGTCCTCCAGGCACCCACGGACCTCCTGCATCCCCACGTGTCTGCAGGTGGACGCTCGGACCTCAGGACACCTCTGGGAAGACACAACTGCGGATGAGCTGGGACAGCCCTGCCAGCAGCAGCCCCCAGGGCAGGAGCTTTGGGTGTTCTGCACCCAGGAAACGGGCACGGTGTCTTCCTAACTCATGGTGAGACAAGTCTGCTCCAGCCCTGGCCAGAAGCCAGCTCTTAGCTCCGAGGTCTGAAAATCCAACCTCTGGTGATGACTAAGGGTGGTTGTTAAAATTCAGACACTCATTAGCCCTGTGCTCAGCCCATTAATTTGCTTTACAGGCCAATTAAAGATGCCAAGGATGGCTGGGATGAGGGAGCGAGCAGCCAGCTTCTCACAGCTACGTGGACACTCACCCCTCTCCTGTGAATTGCCTCCTTCAGCAGGTTCACCACGTCTTCTCCTTCACAGCCGGTCGCCTTGAAACCTTTTGTCCACTTCAGGAGAATGCCCTGTTGTGGAAATACCCCACGGTAAATCACCCAGGCTGGGTGGGAGAGACACCAACCCCACATCCGCCAGCTCTCGGTGGGCACTGCCCAGCACGTGGAGGTCAGATCCTCATGCGTGGAGGTTGGGTTGACAACTGGGTTGTCTCTAGAGCTGAAAGGATCTGAGTTTGCTTTGATGCAGCAAAGGAGCTTTCCAGAAGCACTGGCAGCTCTGAGCTCCTGACTTCTCCCCGCCTTGGGTCTCTATCTGACCAGCCACACGGTCACCGATGGTGGTACGTGGAGTTTCCAGCGTGCTTTGGCTTTTCAGCCAGCCCTGGGTACCGGACACGCATGCGACCAGGTGGGCTGGGGTTACCTCATCCAGGTTGGTCTGCTGGCAAGGGAAGGAGAACGTGAATCCAAGCGGGAGCGATACACCCTTCATTCCCATGTATTCCAGAAAGTCGGAGATGCAGTGGACGATGTGGTCAAAGAGCTGGGTGCACAAAGCCAAACGGAGAAGTTACCATCACAGCAAGAAACTGAGCTGGCTCCAGCCTGCCTGACCTCTGGGAGATGTTGGTCCGTTCCCACCCCAACAGCACTTTGAACAGACCAGGATGCTGCTCAGCCGCGCTGTGCGAGGTGAGGGAGCCACACCACCTCCTCTTTCGTCCTCTTCCCCACCGACGATGCGACCGTATCACTGTGGTACCACCACCCTGCAGGTCCCGTACGGCACCCAGAAGGGATGGAGGGGCAAGAGGGGAGGTGACCAGCTTCCTATGGGTGACATGGGAATCGTGTCCCTCTGCAAGGTATCCCCAGAGTCCGTCTGCTAGAAATGCTCCCAGTCCCTGAGCACTGCCTGGCGTGGTTTGCAAAACTCTTTCCATCTGCAAATAAGACCCTAGAGATGTCTCTTACTGCTTGTGTTGTGGTTTCTCTCTCTGGGAAACGGGGACGGTGCTTATCCACCCTTGCGTGGAGTGTGTGGGATTCAAGGGAGGTTCAGTGATGTCTGGGAATTACACAACTTCTATTCCAAAAACCTGTTTCGAGCTTCCTACAGCACGTTTCAAACTCCATGGCCTTGGGCAGAACTTGCTGCTCTGAAGGCAGGATGAGGCTTTGGGCAACCTGGTGTAGTGGAGGGTGTCCCTGCCCATGGCAGGGGGTTGGAAGTGGATGATCTCTGAGGTCCCTTCCAACCCAAACCATTCGATGATTCTCCACTCGTGGTTTTGTGCCCTGGGAAGCAGAGCAAGGCAAAACCGGCTCCCGTGGCCATCCAGCCCTGCTGCCTGTCACTTCTGCTGCGCCCCCAGGGAAGATGCCCCAGTTTTCCACCTCCAGCTGCCCATCCTCACCTCCTCTCCCGTCCCCTGCATGATCTCCACTGGGATGGAGTAGATCTTGTTGTGCATCTCGACGCCGCGCCTCATCCCGCTCCTCACGCGCACCAGCAGCACGCGGAAGTTGGTGCCTCCCAGGTCCAGGGCGAGGAAATCGCCTTTTTCTGAAACCCGAGAGAGAATCATGAGGACAGAGATCCCGACAAGGGGCACTGTGGACGTGGCACAAAGCTGATCCAAATCTGCCCTCCTGGGAGAGGACCAGAAACCAAGACGTGGCTGGGAATGGAGAACAGCAGGTAGGTGCAGAGGCTGATGGATGGAGAGGTTTCATCAAATCATAGAATGGTTTGGGTTGGAAGGGACCTTCAAGATCGTCCAGTTCCAACCCCCCTGCCATGGGCAGGGACACCCTCCACTACACCAGGTTGCTCAAAGCCTCATCCAGCCTGGCCTTGAACACTTCCCGGCATGGGGCAGGTGCACACCCAAGCCACCAACAGAACTGAGAGCCCAACCCAGGACAACGGTGGCGAGAAACCTGTGGTGGCAAAAACCACAGTGAAAGCCAGACTTTGTATTAAGTCAAGCGCAGAACTTCCTGGAGGCTCAGCCACTTTTCCCAGTATCATACTGGAGGTTAAAACGCTTTGTGCCGCTCCCACCATGAAGAGGGAACTGGCCATGGCAAAGGTCCCAGCCCTTCCCAAAGCCGTGCAGATGTTGGGTGCAGCGACACTGGCTCTGCCCTACGTAGGACATACATGGGCTCATACACATGGTACGTCACCTGTCCCATCTGGAGTTGAGCACACGTAGGTGGGCAGCATTTTCACCGTCGCCGCTGAGTGCGTCTCCTTGCCCAGCCCCTTCTCCATCTCTATCCTCATCCTTTGCTTCACCTCCAGGAGCTTCTCGTGGCTCAGCTTGAGCGCCTCCAAAATATTCTGCCGTGCCTTATGCTGGGCGGCCAGTCTGTAGGCCACCGCTGTCACCATGGCTGCCCCTTTGGCAAGTCCTTCCTCAACGGATCTCGCAGTCCGGCAGCAGCTTCCGCACTGTCTTATGGAGGCGCCGGGCAAAGCTACGGAGGAGGAAAGAGGACCTGAGCATGCCACCGCGGGTGACGTGACCCTCTGGGGTTGTCAATGACCAGGGCCCCTTTGGGATCCAAACAGAGGTGCCCAATGGAAATATTTGGAGATGTTCTGCTTGTGCCAACCTTTATCCACTGAGAGCAGGAACAGATTTGTGCTCTCCAACCCCCTCTCCCCACCAGCCTTGCCTATCCTCATGGACTCACTGAGGATGTTTCTTGTAGACAGAGCCATCCACCCCGACCGTGGACCGCAGCCGGTCCACCCCCTTGTTCTCCTTGATGCGTCGCAGCACGGCGGCCAGGGTGGCCCCGCACAGGTTGGCCGAGCGGGGGGGGACGATCTGGCAGACACGGTGGGGGGGCACACAGTCTTCATGAGACGGCTCCAGGCCCAGCTTGGTGAGGATCTCGTGGGCTTTCTGCAGCCCTTCTTTGTCCCTGCACATCAAAGAACAAAAAACGATTCATACTTGGAAACCCAACTTGTGCTGTCTGACATGTCCTGGTTTGCTCAGTGGATAGCCCTGTGATGGGTCCTGTTTTGCCCCAGGACATATGCCAGGAGATGGGCTGGGACCCCAGGAAACCCTCCAGATCCTACTTACTTCTCAATAGCAGAGACGTATCTAGTCTCAAAGTGGCCGGTGGTGAGCAGATCTGGTGTGAGTGTTCCTCCAAAGAGAAGCCCTTCCTTGGCCATCTTTACCAGGATGAGTCTGACCAGTTCTCCCATGTACATCCCACTGATCATCTTCTCAAACCTGCCAAAGGGGTGGCAGAAAGCACGAGATGTGTTTGTTTGGCTGCGTGTGCCATGAGGTGGCCACAGATTGAGCTTAAAAACACTTGGCAGCCCTTCCAACCCCAAATGAAACCTAGGAAGTCTTCTACCAGAGTCGTTTAGCCCATCCCTGAGAAAATAAAGCCCTGTTGACATAACCATCATTCTGCAAGGAGAACTTCTGGCTACCTGAGGGGCGTCTATCAATTGGCAGAGATACCCCACCCCACCCGTGCTGCCAGAAGCCACCTGGGGAACAGCAGATCTGTAGGACTCGCGCAGACATTAGGTGGTGGTGTTTGCTTTGGCTGGTGGAGAACTCCCTTGGCAGGGGAAAGGGACAGAAATCAACACATCCAAGCGGAAGGCTCACGAGGGAGGCAGGTGCCGAGTGGTTCGGTTGGGCGTACCAACCCCCATTGGTGACACAGCCCTTGTTTGGAGCTGGCACGGCGGAGGACGCGGTGACCTGGTTAACTAGGACGACCTCGTCGGTTCCCACTAACGCCAGCGCAACGGGAGGACGGACAATGCAGAGCAAACCTCGAGCCTGAGCCGCGGCCAAGAATCTGCTTACAATTGTTTGCCAGGGTTGAGCGAGCCCATGTCTATCTCGCGGTCGAACTCCGTCCGGATGTCGTTGAGCGCGCCGTCGTCACCGAAGGCCCCCCACTCCATGTTGATGCACATCCGACCTTCGTCCCCTTCCACCAGGTCAATGTGCCTCATCTCCTCCATGTAACAGGCGTTGGTACCGGTACCTGAACCAAACACGGGGATGTGGTGAGAGAGGAGAGGACATTGCTTTTCCCTTATTCCCCTTAATTAGCAACAGCCAAATGCTTTCTGACATCACTATCACGTTTCTTTTTCCCCAAAAAGACCCCAAAACAGGCAAGAAAAGTGATCTCCTCATGGAGTTCATGGCGAGATGGACCTCAATTCTCCCCCTTTGCTGCAGCTCACCAACGATGAGGCCAACTTCACAGTTATGATCGTCGTAGCCACACGTCATCATGGTGCCAACGGTGTCGTTCACCACAGCCACGATGTCGATGTCAAAGTCCTGAGACGGTGGAGAGGAAAGAGATTGAGTCAGCGTGGCCAAACCAGACCAAAACACCTCTGCCGTCACGGGGGAGCCAAGGTGCGGAGTCGGAAGTGGGAACCACGTGCCACTGGTCCCACCATCCCGGGAGGTGGACACCTGCCCAAACTCTTACCCCTCTTTTCTTGATGGACTTGCGCAGCATCGACACCACGTCCCTCCCCTCCACGCCGCTGCATTTAAACCCCTTCGTCCACGTCACGAGGATGCTCTACGGAGAAAGGGCAAGAAGGAACGCTCAGGGGACAGACCCACCAAGTCACGCATCTTGGCAAGGGCTGGACAGACAGATGGCACCGCAGGCGAGTCCCTCCCTGTTATGAACTCAGGATCAGCCACAATTTCCGCGTCTCCACGCAGATAAAGTTTATGGCCCCAAAACAGCACGTGAGGGGCTGGTTGGTCCTGCCAGCGGGAGGGAACGTGATGCCCAGGACGGAGTTTTATGGAGCCCTGGAGCAAAACCTGTTCCTGAGCATATGGAGAGCTCCTTGACCCAGACCCTGTGGGATGTGGGGGGGTCTCGCTGTCCCCATCCAGCAAAGCGATCACAGTCGCCCGGCTGGAGACCGAGCTGAGCCTTGAGGGAAGGACTCGACTGCGTTTGAAATCTCCGACCCTGGAGCCCCAGGGGCCTTAGCGAGGCACGTGCTCACCTTGCCTTACAGATGGGGAAACTGAGGCACGGAGAGAAGCAAACCAGATGAGGTCACCAGGGACAGACACTTGTCTCCCAGCTGCTTTTTTTTTTTTAAACAAATCTCGCTACTCCCAGGAGGAAAGCGTTAAATCCTCTTCCTCATGACTTCTGCTGAATCACTCGGGCACGAGACCGCGACTCGCCCCGTCCCCGGTACGAAACGCCGCTCCGCTGCCGCGTTCCCACCCGGGGAGGACGTGCTGGATCACCAGCGTGCCATGGAGCCGCCCTCCTTTTCCGATCCTTCCCCGGGAAGCCGGGTGAGATAAGGGCAAGCAAAGCACCA